TCTGTGCAGGCTGCCGTGGGAACCCCGCAATTCCCAACTCCCTCACCCCACAGGTTACCCCAGAACTTGTCCCCTTCCCAGCCACTGCTTGTGGGGGCACCTGGGCAGGAGGCTGAGGTCTCCCCAGGAGCCACCCGCTGTGCCTGGACAGAGTAGACACCAATGGTGGCGCCCAGCACCCTGCCCGGGCCACAGGGCAGGCTCACCACCGCTGCCTGCCCTGTGCCCTCTCCCTGGAGAGTGGTGCCGTGTGTGCCTCCATCCTGGGTCCCCAAAGTGCCAACCGGATGAGGCACCAACCTATCTGGGCTTCCACTGGGCCTCCCCGTTTCCAGGAAGGGGACCTGGGCGCGGGGGTTTCGGAGGAGGCGGGCTGGGGCCCCACGCACAGCCAGCGGCTCCAGGCTGGCACAGCCCCAGCGGCGGCCTGCGGGAGAGCTCTGGGGGGGGGGGGGCACTGTCCCAGCGTGAGGCCGGCCCGCACGTGGCTGCTTCCTGCACGCCCAGGGAGGCACAGGCCCTGGGGGTGCCCGCACCGCCCGGACTTGCGGGCTGAGGAGGCGCCCCTCGGGCCTGGTGCAAAATGCGACCCGGCCTCTTACTCAGCAATCAGGTTTCCAGGCGCTTCCCTCCCTCCCTCTGTCCCTCTGTCCTTAAGGTGCCCTGCAGGGGTGTTGCCACCCCGGGAGCAGGAGACCCTGCGGCCAGCTCACACAGGGCACTGCCGCCCCTGGGGAGGGCAGTTGGCGACACGGTACAGATGGAGCTGGGGCCCTCCCCGGGGCGCAGCGGGCGAAGCGCAGCACTGAGAAGCTAAAGCCGCCGCAGCGCGAGTTCGATCCCCGCCTGCCCCGGAGGTGACCCCAGGGCACAGCAGGCCTCTCCTGTCTCGCCCGCTGCTCCCCTCGGCAGTGGACTTTGTCTGTCGGCCTGTTCTGCTCCCCGCTCTGTCTCTGGTGAAGCCACTCACCACCCCTGCATCTCTGGCCTGCACCCTAGTTCTGTGTGTATAAATCTTAAAAAAATAAAAAAAGATGGAAGCTGGGTAGAAGGAGGCTGGGTGACCAGGGCAGGGCAACACCACTGCTGAGGGAGTCCGGGAGGCTTCCTGGAGGCGGTGACCTCCAGATGCGACTTAATGGGCATCCCCGCTGACGTGGAGAGGGAGCTGTGGGGTGCGGAGCATGTCCGGGTAGAGCTCATACCCCCTGGGCTGCCCATGGTGAACCCCAAGTTCTACCTGCCTGCGTGCGCATGAGCAGCGCAGAGTCACAGCCTGCTGTCACCGGAGAGGACAGGGTCGGCCTGCTGTCGCCCCTGACCTGACCTGGGCACTTCCTGCTGGCTGGGTTCCCTAGAGGTCAGGCAAGGCCAGGGAGCCGTGCCGTCCGGCTTGGACCATGGGGCAGCCCCATCACAGACGCCTTCTCCCTTCGGGCTGGCTGTGTCCCCCGGCTCCTCGTGCACCTGCCAGGAGGTTCTGACTGTCGGGGAGCCCTGGGCAGGCAGCGGCAGGCGTGGCTCAGTGGCCCCAGCTCTTAAGTGGGAGAGCCTCTTGCACCCTAGGCGCTGGCAGCCAGCTCCACCCTGGGACCTGGAGGAGGGCTTGGGGGCACGGCCCTGGGCGGTCCAGTCCTGGGGTCCTCAGTGGGAGGCTCGCCCCCTCTTGGCTCCTGCCCTCTCACCTGGGTGCTGCCCGGCCCTACACGTGGGTGGGAGGCAGCTGGTGGTGGTGCTTCCCGCGTGCACGGCTTGCGGGGCTGTGGCCTAGGGAGTCACAGAATGTTCTAGAAACTGAAGCTGGACCTGGCAGGACGAAGAGGGTGCTCAAAGGGGCACTGGCAGCTGAGGGCAGGGGGGTGCAAGGTCTGGAGGGCCCAGAGTGTGGGGCCTGGAGCAGAATGCAGGGAGCACCCCCTGGCCAGGGCGGAAAGGAGCCCGGGAGCGCCGGTGGAGCACGCGCCGCCCCCACCCCGGCCCTCGAGCCCCGACACAGCCTTCCTGCTCCGCAGAGCCCTGGCCCTGCTGCTCACGCACTTGCTGCACCTCCAGGGGCGGTGTCCAAGGCCACAGGGCCCTTGCCCGCTCGCCCTCCCTCCCTCCCTCCCACCTGCCCACTCACCCTTCCCTCGAGCCACCCCGGTGCTCCAGTCAGGTGAGGCCTCCTTCCCGGCCAGCTGCCCGCATCTCACCGGCCGGCCCGAGGGCTCTCCGCGCCAGTGGAGTAAACTGAGGCTCGAGCAGTGAAGTCCTTGCTCGAGGCGGCATAGGGGGGCCCCCCCAGGCTCCCGTGCCCGATGCCAGGCGGCGGCCGGCCTCGCTCACGCCAGCCGGCGGCCGCGACACGCGTCACCGTGGCTCTGTGGAGGCTTTAATTAACTTCCTGTTTCAGCGCTGGATAATGAGTTTTAAGCGCCACGTGATTGGGTAAGGAGGTCAAAGGGCAGTCGGGATGTCAAAATAAATTAAGCCAGGAACGGGGTTCAGCTGCGGGAGGGGCCGGGGGAGGGCGGCTCCCGGCTACCTCTCGTGGCCTGGGTGCTGCGTGCCGGTGGCCGAAGGTCTGTCAGGCTTGGCTGCCCCCTGGGGCCAGCGGGCTCTAGCTGGAGACGTGGCCAGCTGCTGTCCACTGCCCACCCTGTGTCCGGCCTGGGCTGTGCCGGGCAGACCTTGAATGCCTCCAGAAGCCCACCTGGAGCAAGAGCCAGGGGTGGCTGGGTGGGGAAACTGAGGCCGGAGGGGGAGGGCCTGAGGTCTCGTGGCAGCAGGTGCTGGGGGGGTCCTACTCCCTACTCTGGAAACAGCCTGGGCACCTCTGGCTTATCAGGCCCAACCACACTCGGGCCCTGGAGGCTGGGGTCAGCGAGGGATCTCTCCTCCCTCCGACCCAAAGGGGCTGCGAGGTCCCAGGTACGGACGCAGGGCACTGCCCAGAAAGACGCCATCCTCAAGCAGTGGCCAGACTCTGGGGGCAGGCGCCTGGCCAGCTTCCCTGATGTGCCAGGTCCAGGCAGAAGTGGGCACTGAAGGCCAGACAGGCCCCTGGCATGCCAAGCCCACCCTGGGGGTGCTCCTGGGCCCAGCCCTCGGCATTCTCCCGGCAGCCCCTGGGCTGCCAGGCGGCCCCTGCGCGCTGGGCACCCACGACCTCTGTGCCTTACCCAGCGCTAGTGGCCACGAGCCTGGGAATCCCAGCTGAGAATTCGGGGTGCCCTCTGCGGGCAGGGCCGATGCTTCCTGCCTTGTGCACCAGCGTCGGGCCGCGGGGCGGGGCCTGGGGACCCGCAGGCCATGCGGCGGGGCAGAACAGTCTCCGCCCCTCTGCAAAGCCCCCGGGGCACGGAGGGACCCCTGGCAGCGGGAGGCGGGGCAGGCGGCCCGCGTCCGCGCCTGTCC